TTTATTGATTGCAAAATTCAAAATATTAAAAATAAAATGAAATAAAAAAAAGAAAACAAAACTACAATCCTTTGGAAAAAAAATTTTTGTTTGAATTGCCCAAAGCATCATATATAATCCATTCATCATTTGATTAGTTGAAAAATAAAGAATAATTTCAATCAATGAATGGTACACAAAATTGTGGGCTAAACAAAATTATAAACAGGTTCAATTGGTTGATCATAATTTCATTCATATTTATCTTTTTTTTTTGAAAATTTTTTTAAAAGAGGACCATTTGTTTCCAGAGAATTTCTAACAAATAGAAACAAAAACGATAAAAAAATCTATATTCCAAACACGTCATAAAACTTGTTTTTCGGTTTTGTTTTCATTTTGTTACGTAATTCTTTAGTTGGTTGTTGATCTGTGGTTTTTTGTATACGTAAAACATTTGATCAACAAAAAAAAAACATTTAAATTTTAGCAACCGGATCCGGTATGCATATACACATGCATTGTCATTGTTTTATTAATTTTTTATTATGGAACCTGACAGAAATGATTATAGTTTTAAGGAAAAAAGCATACGAAAAACAAAAATCATACAGGTAAAACTTAGAATTTGATTTATGATCAATTAATCGATCGATTGATGACATTTTTTTCATTGTATGTGTAGGCGTGTTTGTTTACATATGTTTGGTTGCTAGTGTTTGTGTCGTTTGTTGTAATTCTGTATGAATCGTTTAATAAAAATGTCAAATTTTATTGTCAAAAATGTATAGGAACACGTATTAGAAATGAAAGTTTGTTTGTTTTTTAATATCAATATTTTTTACTGTGTTACTGGGGAAATTTTTTCAATCTGAATAAAGCGCGAATATCATGGATCCATTAGAAATGTTGTCGATCAGGTTGCACATAGTTTTCAAACGTTGATTTTCCAATTGTAATTAGTCAAAAGGTAAGAATGGACAAAAAAAACAATCTTTATTTTGTATATTGAGCAATGATAAAATTTACATTGAATTTGGTTCCAAAAAAACAATGTAAATAAAAAAATCAATGAAAATTGAAACAAAAGAAAAAATATAACTTTTGAATGTTTTTTCAAGTCGAAATCAAAAAAATGGGAAAAGTAATTTAGTTCGTAAAAAATGAATAATAAATGAAGAAATAAAATTTATTGCTTTATATCAAATTTTCACTTTCTATTTCATTTTTTTCATATTTTTTTTGGTGTTACTGTGCTTTCGATCGTTTTATGGTTGAAAAATTCTGGGTTTTTTTCTTCGTTGGAAAATAACAATTTTTCTCTGTTATTCAGGAGAAAAAAAATGAAAAATTTGTCATCATTTCTTTTGTTGAAAAGGAAACTAAATAGATTCGATCGGAGAAAGCAAACGTAAAAAAAATCAATATATTCACTAGCCGGAAATTATAATTTCGTCAAAAAAAAGTTCAAGTTATTTTTTAAAGTTATTTTTTTATATATTGCCTTCGCGTACCCAAATAAAGGTACATGTAGCTTTAAGGAAAAGGAAAGTGATGAAGTTTTTAGTTATTTTTTTTCATTAACTCATTCATTCTCATTAATTCTTGAAATTAATTAATTTTTCTTTTCATCACCATCATCATCCTTGTGTTTATTCAATGTTATTTGACGGTTATGGAAAAGAAAAAAGAAACAAAAATCAAAATAAAAACAAATTTGGTAGTTCACTCATCGATTTTTGTTGTTGTTGTTTGGTTGGTACCAAGTTATGTTTTGGCTTTTTTTTCGTGTCAGAACAAAATTGATTGATTTATTCATTCAACAAAGAAAGAAAAATAAGAATTTCTCTTGAGATTTTTTTTTTATTTCATAGAACATGAAATTCGAAAATCGCTTTCGGAAAATTCTGGGTTTTTTCTTCGATATTCCGTGTGTGATGATAAGATTGGGAAAATAAGAAAAATATTTTTTTTAAAGGAAAAACGAATGAAAGAAAAGAAGTTCCCAGAAAATGGAAAATGAAAAAGATTGCAAAAAAAACATTTCTGTTTGTTTATTCCGATAATCATTATCAAAGGTTGTGTATAGGAGAGCGAAAAATGAATAAATAAAGAAAATGATAAAATCGATAATGATTCAAAGTTTGACAATTGAATTATTGTCTTCAATTCCTTTAATAGTTTTGGTCAATCATTCATTTCTTTTTTCCAATCATTATCATCATAATTTAATGATTTAATGATAATGATGTTCGAATATAACGATCATAAATTGGATCAAAGTTTTTTTTCACATTCAAACAAACAAAAAAAAAACAATAATAATGATAATCATCATTCAATAGTGGTTTAAAGAATAAATATCGATTATTATGACGTCTGAATGATGATTGTTCTAGGTTGTGGGATAACAATCCAATAATGGTAACATTGACAATCATTTTTTTCCCTACTTTTTTAACATAGTAATAATAATAAATGCAACATAATAATAAGGTATGACAGAAACAAAAAAAAAGTGTAGAACAAAAAAAATGACTAGAGCAAATAGAATAGGAATGGAATGATTGAGAAAAAGTTGGAAACAAAAATCGAACAAGAATCTGGGCTCCAAAGTCAAATGGTATGATTTTTATTTCTTCTTCTTGTCTTCTTAGTTTTTCTTTCCAAATAAAAATTCATTAGACACCTATGGTTTTTCATTGTTTTTGAATCATTGGCAGGTATGTCATGGAAAAAAACAAAGAATGTAAAAAGACAATAACCTAAATCGATAAAATATTTCGAAAATGAATTGAGGGAAACACAAAAAAAAAGAATTGAATCGAATTTTTTTGGTAAGAAAGAGATAGGGAGAAACTGATGAAATGAATATATGAACATGACAAAACCAGAAGCATGTATAACGCCCAAGTAAATCAAAGGAAAAACATCAGAAAATAATGATTAGAAATCATCTTCTGACATTATCATTGTTACAATATTATAATGATGTTGACAAATTGAGAGGTGTGAGAAAATAAATGTCAAATTTCAATTAACATTTGATAATGTTGATGATTTTTATCATCATTATCAAATTTTGATGACATTATAGATAAAACAAAGACCGAGTAGAGTGAGATAGGCAAAAAAAAGAAAAGAATTCCATATAACAGAATTTGTTATATGAAAAACAACCATAATTAATTTGTAAACCATAATGAAGAAAAAAAATTACTATGGAGCAAAAGCGGAAAAGTCATTTAAACAAAATGATAAATCAATGAATGAATGAATGATGAGCGAAAAAAAAAATCAATTCATCATGAATGACAAAATAACCTAAATAACCAGAATAATTATGATTGCAAAATAACAAGTGCAAAAAAGGGTTTTGGATTCGAGTTTTGAATCATGTTTTTTTCCGCCTAATGACAGAACAAATTAATTATTTTTTTTACACAACTAACCACATTTTGATGAATTTTTATTGTAATTTGTAAATGAATAACATCATTATAATTTTTTATTGATAATGATAATTGATTTCTGCTTTCTCTCACAAAAATAATTAGATCATTGTATGTATAGTGTGTGATCAGAGAAATGGAAATTGAAAAAAAAATCCGTAATTTATAAATCTAAATTGAATGGAATATGGTTATTTGGAATATAACATAAATCATCGTTTTCAAACAAAATGAATGAACAATTTAATTTCTCTAATCTTCAAAAAAACAAAATGGTATTTCAAACAATTATAAATCAATCAACGATAATCGAATTTCAATTTCCTTTTCTTTAAAAGAAACGAAAATTTCATTTTCATTTCCTTTTTTTCCAATCCAATTGAGAGTGAAAAAAAACTATGACAACTAAAAAATAATAATAATAAAAACAGATAGAAAATTGAAATCAAAAATTTATTTTTCAAAACACTTCACAAATGTGAATTTCAAATGAATAAAAATATCGATTTGAAATTAATAGATTTTTTTTCTTTATCACTTATAATAATGACCATCCAAATAGGCATGTCCATTATTATTATTATGTGTATGGCACATCTACATTGGTTTTCTTTTTTTTTCCCAATACTTTCTCATCATCATCCAGGAATGATGATTCTTATTTCAATTGCGCTGATGCAAATCTCTATTCTATCGTATAGAGTTTTTATTGTAAAAACATTATATATTTTTATATAAGTGTATAGTGATTCTTTATGACAGACAGGAGAATGAAGAGAAAAAAAAATAGCTAGAAAGAATAACTAAGCCGCCCAACCAGTGTCTGCGTATATGTCTATAAGTAACTAGGTATACAAACATACAGCGGTAACGATAACGACGATGATGATGATGATGATGATGAGTAAATAAAGAATTTCAAATACCCGATATTGTTTTCCAGCGAAAAAAAAACTCTAAAAGACTAAAAAAAAGAAGCAGAATGCTTTCCATCATATACCAAGTCAATAGAATCAGAAAGATAAAACACCACCACCAACAACAACAATAACAAAAATTTCATTCTTAATTCTGTCATAGAGTTGATTGTTATATAACCAGTGTAACAAGCAAATATTGCAAAGCACAATAATTCAAAATCAAGAGTTTTTTGGATTCTCAAAATTCTTCTTTTTTTTCTTATTATCGTTGTTACGTCTTATTTTATTTGATAAAACGAATTTCGTTTCTGATCAACATTGAAAATCAAATCATTCACATAAACATAGAGAGAAGAAACATAAATCCCATTGGTCATTATTATTGAAACAATCATTACAATAGACAAAGACGACAACAACAATAATAATCAAAACAAATTTCCAAAATTCAAATTATTTTTCCAATAAAATCCATCTGAAAATTTTCTTCACATCATTATCATTATTTGAAGAAATTTTATAAATTCTGTGATTTTGTATTTATGTGTGCAAAAGATATATAATTTTGAAAGACTATTAAGTGATTATCAACAACAAAAATTGACATTTAACGTATGAAATCATAATAATCAAATCTGACTTGTGTTATTTTAGAAAAGTTATAATTAACAATAATAATAACAAAGCAATAAAATAATAATGCTACCAAAATCAAATCAATCAATAATGATGGCTAATATTGTAGGAAAAATGTCAACATTTGTAAAAAATGATTCATCATCAATCATTATGATTAATTTTTTAATGATTATTATGGTAATATTATTACCGGTAACACAACAAGCAACAATTGATACGAAAAAAAGTTCATCATCATCATCAATTTCCGATCAATCAGTAGTTGATAGTGGATCATCGTCATTATCATCATCAAAATCATTACCATTGATCGATTCGAATGGTAATGAATTTGATTTTGTTGAACCAACATTTGTTGATTGGCATAAACGTGCAAGTGGATTTTTACCGATGCGTGGCCGTAAATCAGCCGAATCAAATCAATATATTAATAATAATAATGATATTATTGATAATTATGCATCATTAAATGGATATGGTAATGGAATAATGGATCAATCAATGATGATTCAACCGAATAGTGAAGAATTAGAATTATTGAATCTATTGGAAAAACGTAATCGTATTAATTCATTTATGCCAATGCGTGGCCGTAAATCAGTTGATTATTATTATAATCAACAAAATCCTTTTGTACCACCACCAGCAAGATCAAATTATTATAGAAGTTTTGATGGTTTTGGAAATAGCGATAACATACAGTTATTACCATCACAGCTAACAGCATCAAAATTGTAAGTTAAAAATGAAAAAAAATGATAGAAATTTATAATTTTTGCTTCAAATTTCTTTTTTGAAAAAAATAACAGTATGAAATCAGGAAGAATGATTACAGGAACTAATGGTGCTGGTGTCGGTGGTGGTGGTGGTGGTAGTGTCAGCAATCTCTATCATCAAAACGATCAAAAACGTGGAAAAGGTGTCGCATTTTTCGGTTCGCGTGGTAAATAAATATTTTCAATCTAAAATGAACAAAACAAAAAAAAAATCAATCGATTTTCAAACATAACAAAAAAAAAATCAATAGATCATCATAATTCATTCCAAAAATATAAATTATCCTTTATCATACACTCTTCCCCATACCTTACCAACAGCAAAAAAAAAACACTTCCACATTAAATGTTACACAAACAGATACAACATCTTTGATTTTTAGAAAACAATCTTCGATTTTTAAAAAAAGATTGATTTATTTTAAACATCAGTCAAATTTTCCAATACTAAACACCGGCTTTTTTTTGATAACCAACACATTATGTGTGGCATTTGAATTGGTAATTGGTGTTTTGATCAATTGATTGATTGAAAATTGATGATATTCAATAATAATAATTATCTTTAGTTTTTTTTGTAATATTCCTTATAATAATTTGATATCATTCATTCATTCATTCAATCTTTAAATGAAAAAAAAACATTGCAAGAAAAAGTCTGATCCACGAAGAAAAAATCCTAACACAGATACAAATTATACAACAATACAACACCCCATTCACCAAAATCAAACTATTTTCACATGTGGTTAGCTAAAAATGCTGTCATAATAATCATTATTATCATCATTATCATCATCAACATCAACAACAAAAACATTATTATTTGATCATCATTCAAAACAGATTATTATTACATTATATAAATTGATTATTGTTGTTTATTATTTTATCAATTTGTTAGCGACAATGAAATAATTTAAAAAAAACACACATCAAAATAAAATAAAATTTATCAGACCAGTAAATTTATATTCCATTAATTTATTTGAAAATGAATGAAAAAGGTGAAATAAATGAGAATGGTGGCTATTTTTTCAACGGAAAAACGCTCGATGGTTAATCTGTAAATTGGAATTTTTAAAAAATACAAAATTGATTGATCAACAAAATTGATTTTTACTTTCATTATTACTTTCAAAAAATTTCTCCATTTAGATTGGTTATAATTCAATTTTCTTTTTTGTAAATGCAAACATTTTATCAAGTTTTCATATTTTTGGGTGTATGTGTGTGTACAGGTTTTGATGATTTTCAATTAATCTAGGTCGAAACAATTATTCATTTCATTGTTTGTTTTATTTTTATTATTTTTTTCGTACAAAATTGGATCATCATTTTTAGATCTAACCTTGAAGTTGTTTTTGTTTTTGTTTCGTTTCACTGAAAGGAAATCGAAAATAAAAAACTATTTGAATTCCATATAAATTTTGTTCCTCATAATTTTATTGCATGAAAAATTTCGCAAAAAAAATTGAAAAAAATAAAATAAAATCTTTTTTCTGAAGAATTTGGGTCACTCATATTTGTTTGGGCCATCTTTCTGATTTGAATATTAGATGAAACAAAACAGAAACCAAAAAAATTTATGATCAAACTTCCTGAACAATAAAAATTTGCATTTGTTTATCTGTTAACTTTGTTTCTATGATGGAAAAAATTATAAAACTATTAAATGGATTGATGTATCAATCTTTGTTATTCATTTGTTATTGTTATTCAAATCTTGCTTGTTCAAATTGAAATCAAATCGATAATGATGAAATCATTATACATTATTTCATTGATTTTAATGTTCATATCGATGATTATTGATGCAATTGATTTCGATAATTATCAACGATTATTTCGAAATGAAATTTTATCATCCAATTTAAATCGATCACAGATAATAGAAAATGCAATTCAATCAACAACATATTATAATTATAATGATATTTGGTCATTGACTACAAGTGAAGGAAAATGTAATGGATCACAATTCGGTACCGTACCAGATCCAAATGATTGTCGACGTTATTATCTTTGTTCAATGGATTATGCATATGAACGTCATTGTCCATCATTAACATTGTTTGATTATCAACAAAAACAATGTGTCTTTTATTCAAATGCAGAATGTTTTTCAAATGAAGAATTTATTTGTCCACGAAAATTTGCTCTTTATCGACATCAACAAAAATGTGATCGTTATTGGATCTGTGTGAATGGTAAAGCAAAGATAAAATATTGTACATTGGGTCAAAAATTTGATGTTCATACGAATCGATGTCGAATAGCATCATGGGCACGTTGTACGGAACAGTCAAACAATAATGAATCAATGTCGACAACGACAGAATCATTAACACCAACCATAGAATCGAATAATACGTTAGAATCATCAACGATAATTGAAAATGATAAAAATTTTACGATGACACTTACGCCATCTAGTTCGGATAATTCAAAAACTACCGTATCAATAATCGTGTCAACTTCGATGATTCCTACGGATAAGAATAATCAGAATTCATCAATTATGACTACTTCGAACGCAAATAATACATCGATGACAGCTACAAATACAACTACGACGACTACTACAATAATTATCACTTCATCAGCAACTACCACAACAAATATCAACTCCAATCAAAATGTTGAAAATTTACCCTCGACAACAATATTGCCTGAAAATTATCCAGAGAATATAACAACCACAGTTCCGATAACAAGCGCAGTTCCAATAACAAGCGCAGTTCCAATAACAGCCGCAGTTCCGACAACAACTACTGTTCCAACAACAATCACAGTTCCGATAACAACCACTGTTTCAACAATAGCAGCAGTTCCAATAACAACAACACTATCATCCACCGATGAATCAGAAAATTCATCATCAACAAATACTATGAGACCATTACAAGAAAATGAAAATGTTACATTGCCATCATTTGACATTACATCTTCACCAACATTTGGACAGGAATTGGTAACAAACGATACTGGTGATTCGCAACCATTATTACCGATCCAATCAAATGCAACTGATTCACAAGAACAAGGCTTAGCAAAACCATCCGGTGGTCTTAAAACACGATTGATCAAAACGAAAACATTTATTCGTTCACCAGTTACCAGATCTAAAACGATTGTACGAAAAAAACAGAAAACAAAACCAAAAGTAAAGAAAAATGTTGCTAAAAAAGAAAATAATTCAATTATGACATCCAAATTCAAACTGACAACAACAGCAATGATTCCAACAATGAAAGCAAAATCGGAATCAAACAAAATGTCTTCCTATAAATCATTGGTTTCATCGACACCATGTGATGATTATGATGGTAATGTGGGCACATTGAATTAAAATATTGATTATTTGGAAAAAACCCGAATAAAATTAAATAAAATTTAATCAAAATTAATTATTCATTATCAATAAAAAAAAATAATAATTTTCAAAGATAATTTGGAATCTGTATATGTTGTGATTTTGGCTGTAGATTACAATATCCATGGATATTCATAGGCTGTTGTGAATTTATTTTGATTATCATATCATTATTTTCATATTCCCAATTATTGTAGACAAAATTTTTCTGTTCATCGTTTTGATGTGTGGTCAATATCCATGCCTGTTGTGGAATCAATATAGTTTGTTCAGTTTGAATAGAATGATTATCAACATCCTCATCATAATCTTTAACTTGTTCTTTGATCAATGTTTCAATCATATTTGAATCGATTTCCTGTTTATTTTCCTGTGATGAATTTTTTCCAAAATTTATCAATGATAAAATCTCATCATTATTATTGTTGTTGTTTTTCTTATTGTTTAAAATTTTATCTCCATTATTGATTGAATTTTTCATAAATTGTTTGGATGATCGTAGTTTTTGTACCATAAAAATTGCAATGATAATTATTGCTATTATCATGACCATAGATAGCGAACAGGTTGCTATAAATATGCATGGATGTTCGTTCGAAATCATTTTGATCATACGAGTGAAACGTATAAACCAAAGATTTTGTCGCTGTAAATGTGATTTAATATTTTCGGCAAATGAAAATTGAAATAGCGATTCTGAATTCAAAGGACTTTTTTCGATTAAAACTCCTGTATCATTAACTATTAACTCGGTTGTTGTTGTTAATGTTTTCGCTGTTGTTGTTGTTGTCGAAGATAATGTTGGAGAGGAATTTTTCTCTGTCAATTGTTGTTCGGTATAATTTGTTAATGTAGCCATTGTCGATGTTGTTGAAGGTTTGATTGTTGATGATGAAAATGTTGATGGTATTGTGATATGAACCATTTTTGATGATAATTTTGGGATTTTTTTCATTTTGATAGTTTCCGGTTTTTTATTCTGAGATGTGCGATTAGAACTTTGCCAAAAATTTGGATCTGAAAAACTTAATTTCGAACCAATTCTGATCGGTTTTATTGTTGTGGTGGTGGTTGTCGTCGTAGTCGTTGTCGTGGTTGTAGTTTTTTCATCGTGATTATAATGTCCATAATCTGCACAATTTCTATCATAACTATAACAAAGACATGAAAATCGATATCGAAATCCATTCGGTACACATAATTCCGAACAGAATGACTTTATTGGACATAATGGTTCAATTTGTCCTGCAGGTTGTGTGTAACTATGAATAAGACGAAATTCTTGATTAGCTGACAGATGATTTGACCAATCATTTAAATCAGCTAAATAATTTTGTTTTGTTGGTCGATCTTCAAGTATTTGATTAATGTAATCAATTTTATATGCAAATAATCCATTATATTTGAATTCAACAAAATATGGAACTAAAACATAAATAGATTCAATAATAAATTCTTACAGTGACAAAAAAATTACTTACAAATAATGTTAAAAGTTTTAACATAATTATTCTGTAAACGAAACATTCGAGTATGTTTTCGTATGGCATCCGGATCTTGATATTCTTCGGGTGGTTGTAATGATATTTCTCCTAATTGTCCATTTGTTACAAAATAGACAATATAATTTGCCTGATCAATTTGGACATCATAAATGAATGTAGGACTTGTAAAAATAATAGCCATTTCTGTTCCATCTTGTCGTGCAATTTGTAAACGATTTTCATTCGAATCAGACCAATCAATTTCATGCCAAACAAGTGTTGATAAACCTGAACAGATTAATAATTTTTTGATTGTACGACGATATGATGAAAATAATAATGATGTTGGACGATTCATTGATACGGATAATGATGATGATGATTGTTCATTAGCAATCGATGTAAGAATAATATCGGATTGATCGGCAACCATATAAAGAAGATCATGTATCCAATCAATTGCCAATTGTGTGATTGTAAACCAACGATATTCTCCTTCCAATCGAATCGGATAATTAACATTTGTATTATTTATTTTCATACGATATAATCGATGTTGATCAGTAATGAACCAGATATCATTTTTTCTTAAATGAAAATCATATGCAATAATTTTTTCATTTTGATATGGTGATCGTATTATTGTTGTTACTGTATGGTTATTATTATTATTATTATTATCAACACATAATGGAAAAATAGCCAATTCTTCCGATGTTGATGTTAGCTGAACAAAATTGATATTATTTTTATAAATGTCACATAGATGTTTATTCATTACCATCGATAATGAATCGGTCAATGAAAATAATTGATAAATAATTAATATTAATAAAAATGATAAATTGAACAAAAATAATGATGAAGCCATAATTGAGAAATTGTCAAGCAAAAAAAAGAAGAAAGATTCAATGACCATCACCAAAAAACAAATGAAATGTTTATGAATTTTGACTGGCCAGAACCGAAAATCCATAATCATTTGTACAAAATCAGAAGGAAATGGACAATTTTTTGTTTTCTCATACCCACACATATAATATTGATTTTTGTTTGTTTTTGGTTCTCAATCCTGTTCAAATCGATTGATTGATTGATTGATTGATATATAAAGATCTGATTTGCGGAATTCATTTTTTTTTTGCCCTCACTCTATTCTCGAAAGAAAAGGAAGTTTCAATTATAATTATTTATTCATTAACAACATCATTTTGAATAGGAACTTTAGAAATTGGTCATGGGAATTTTTTTTCTTCTACTTTAACCTCTTGAAAGATTTAGATTTAAATCTCGTCACGGATCTGTCGGCTTTTGTTTTCTGTTTGTTTTTCATACAGTCAAAAAATATATTCATTCGAAATGAATATTTAAGCTAATTGGTTTGAAACAAATGCGAAGAAAAAGAAAAAAATCATTTAATTATTGGACAATTAAAAAAAGAAAAAAGAATATGAAATGGACATATGAAAAAATATGTGAAATGGAAGAAAAAAAAGTGGCAAAATAAAAATTTTTTCAGATTTTTTTTGAAACATATTAATCAATGTCAATGGGTTAATGGAACTTTGATTAACAATTTGTTTGTTATAGCTGTAAATTTTTTTTTCAATTATTTTTAGATGAATAAATTTCATTTGATATTAATTAATTAATGAGAAAGTTAATTGTTTTGTTGAGTGTTATCATCATTAGAAAAAAAGTTATGACATAGATTATATAATGAATGAAATGTGATATTGGAAAAAAAAATGTTATTTCATGTTATGAATAAAGATCATGGACAATAGAAATCCAATTTATATGTGAAAATATTTATTTATATTTTGTGTGTGTGCTTTTTCATATTTTCAAGCAATATGATAATTTGTTTGTTGTTTGTTGTTTTGTTGTTGTTGTCTAGATTTCCTAAGATTTAAAAAAATGAATTATGATGATGATTGATTGAAAAATGATGCATGAATGAATGAATTTTTCTTGAATAAAAAGGACGATCCTAATCTAATAATAACAAATAATGTATTTTATGACATTAAGAATATAAAATAAAGTTTGTTTTTTTGGATGGTTTTGCTGTATCAAAATCGGTATCAACTTTGAAGGTAGTGAATTGGTAAAGTTTTTTTCATGTGAAAATGAAATAACGTTAAGAGAGAGAAAAAAAATGAAAAAATAGAGAAATTGAAGAAAAACGAAAAAAGGCACTGAAGATGATCAGTTTGGTAATGATAATCATGGTAAGTGTGAGTGTATGTTTGTTGGATTCAAGGATTTTCAGGATTTAAGGTCGAGGTTTGAGATTAGTTATTTAGATTGATTGATAATTGTGTATTATGTAAATGTGTTCATATTTGTGAATATTCATTTAGAATTGAATTATTTTTCAACACTATTCATTCAATCCTAATGGTGAAAATGAATCGATTAATAATTTTTTCGTTCTTTCAAGATCCATTTTGGCTGATTTGGATCTTATTTTTTTACTTGAAAATGCTGATGATCGATCGTATGATGAATGCGGTTGTAATCGTAGAAAATCATTTGGTGATGAATGTATTGAACTCGTATGACTTGATGATGTTGAAGATGATGATGATACACCGGTTAAATGACTAGCGTTTGAATCGGATTCAATTGCCGTTGGTTGTACAGAAATTGTTCCATATGTGGATGATGATGTAGATGGTGATATTAGATTCGTTGTTGAACCACCATTAGTATCATTAAACATTTGATTTGTTGTATAATATCTTCCATTCGGTCCACTATAAACAGGTGCATATAATGGACTATTCATACTGCTTGATGGGTATTCCGATGCTGATGAATATGATTGACCATATGATGATGTTGGTGATTCAAAATAATAGCTATTTGTTGCCGCCGCTTTATATGGACCCATTGATGAATGTCCATGTGTTAATCCATTTTGATAATCATTATTTGATCTACCACCATTCGATCCAACATCGACTCCTTGTTGATTATCCATCATCATTGATTGTTGTTGTTGAACTGGATATGGTGTTGAATCATATGATTGTCGTTGATAACCAGCAGTCATTTGACCATTACCATTTGATCCACCATTACCATTTGGATCATCATAATTCATACCATAACTCTCTGATGATCCACTACCATCATTTCCGTTACCATAACCACCACCATATTTAGATGATGATGAATCGGAATCATAACTAGATGATGATCCATAATTGGATGAACTATCACTACTATAAGTACTACCACCACCACCACTACCATAACCAGAATCATGACTACCACCATATGATGATTTACTATAACTTTTCATTGGATATGGTACCGGAACTGGTTTCATAATATATTGTCGTACAGGTACATAATGATGACGAAGTATATATTTATATACCGGTTTTGGTATATAATAAGGCACCGGTACTATTTGTTTGACAACATGAACTTGTTTTTTCTCCTCACAATTTCCTTGTCCGCCAACTAAAATCCTATAATTTTTTTAAGAATAAATTCATCATAAAATTTTTTGATAAATTATAAACGAATGCAAACAAAAAACAAACATTTGTTCACCGCCGCCTTTTTTTCCACCACCACCACCTTTGATCAATGTTGGACCGCCACATTTTCCACCCGAAATCAATATCCTATTTAATATTTATTTTAAAAAGAAAATGTTAATTAAATAAATCAAATTAATCAATACAAAAACAAAACACTTACAAATTACCACCACCTTTTTTATTACCCTTTTTATCACCAGCCATTTTAATTAGAACAGGTCCGGATCCTGTTTATTTATTAATGACAAAACAATAATAATAATGAAATATAGAATGGCAAAATGCCAAAACGATAAAACACATTACTAACCTGCCGAAACAATTTCTCTAATCAACATATTAATCAATACATAATGTAGAATATTTGTTTTAAAATTATACATTTTTCCCGTTGATGGCTTTCAAGGCCTTTGAATTTTTTTTGTTTGCTTTTTGAAAATTTAAGAAAACAAAAACAACAATTCACTTTCGGATAATTCAATGAATGAAAATTAGAATGGCAAAAATTTTAGATTTGATGAATTATTGATGAAAATACATAACACAAAAGATACAATCGTCATACACTTGAAACAAATACACAACAAGAACAAGAACAACAAAATAATTTGATAATTTCAAATCAAAATTCACCAGTGAAAAAAAAAAACTTTCAATTCAATTCAAAATTATAGTTGCAAATCAAAACAAAACGAAACAAAAATTTATTCAATCGATGTTTATCGTTGAAATGATAGTCGACGATTGTACCATAATCAATATGGATCATGTCGTTTTTGAATTCTCGGTTGTTCATCTCACCCGATTCAAAATGTAAAAAAAAATTTCTCTTTCTTTTGGCATTAATAAATTGTTTTGTCGTTTTTTTTGTCAAGCATAAAAATAATCAACAATAATCATTAACCAGAGCAGAAATTTACCGTTTTTTTTTTCGTTCACCCAATTCTCTTCAGACTCTTTCCTCCTCTTAATGAACATTGTTTCAAAAAAAACAGTTATTCGGATATTTAAACAAAATTGTCATTTGACAGCAGAAAAAAACGTCGTTTGAATAAGAAAAATTAGATTTACATAATGAAGACTGACGGTAATTATTGTCTATGATGATTATATTTGATTTGCAGAAAAAAATATGATGATGATCATCATCATCGTTATCATTATCATATACAGTTGTGAGAAAAAAAAGAGAAGCGCGACTATTCATTGATGCGAATCGAAAAAATTTTCGTCTTCTTTTTTTTAACTCTTGTTGTTAGAAAATTGCTTATTATTTCAACAAAAATGATTGGTGATCATCATCATCATCATCATCATCATTGACATATAATTGATCCAAATCATAATCATCGATTATTTGAATCAATAAAAAAAATGAATGAATTATAATTGTTTCAACAACAACAACGAAATCGGATCAAACAAGGCTCATTTTCACTCTCGCTATAATCTTATTGTTGTTTGTCGAATAAATGTTTATAAAACCAGGTGGATGAAGATGACAAAAAGAAGAAAGAAATTATCTTTTTTTTTTGTTGGAAATGAGACACACGCAATCGTAGCTCGAAATAGAAATTGCCCTAAACTATATGAAATGGAAAAAAAATTTATTTTTATATTTACGATGATCCAAAAGTAAAAGAGTTTAAATCCCCGGTGATATATTTGTTTGGAAAAAAAGGAATAGATTTCTATTTCTTGTTAATGTTTTGTTTGTTTGTCATCATCAAGAGGTGGTGGAAGAGGAAGATGAAGAGACACATCAAAGTAAAATGATGTTGATGATCTCTACTTTGTATACTTTTCAAACTTTTCGATTTTTAACTAATTATTCGGTTGATCAATTTTATTTAATTATATTTAAAATAGTCAACAAAAAAAAATCATATTTTTCTTTTTTGCTAAATCATTTTGCATATTTCATTTGGCACACGACAATATTTGAAAAAAAAATATATATTTTGATCATTATAAAATTTTGACATTATCGATAATAAAATAACTCTAAATGATTTATTGACAAAAATGGTTTTGATTTTCCATTTGATTTCAGTTGTGTCAATTTAATCAAAGATGGCTGATAATACTGGACAGCCCAAACATATTCGATACATTCGGAACACAAACACACAGTAAAATTTTTGTTTTATTTCCAACAAATTAAAAAAGAAAAAACTTTATGATCCTTTTCCGATACAATGATTATCGGGATTTTTTTCAAAATGACACTAAATTAAGAATGAAACAAAAAAAAACGAAAGAAGATTATGATTGACAATTCGCGAACCATATTTTTTTTAACAATAATGATGATTATGATTGAAAATTATAATTAACAACAACAACAACAAACATTATATTCAGTTATTGAGAAAAAAGCAAATGTTGCATGCAAAACTTGTTGATCATTAGTTTGTCTATTTTTTTTCTTGTTTTCACTGATCGAACGTACGTACGTCCGTTTGGTTTTTCAGGTACAAACGTTCGATTCGAATGATTTATTTATGATTTTTTTATTTTTGACTCCTTTCCTTTTTTCGGTTCGCCATCTGATCAGTTTTGATGATTTTTTACCATCATTTATTTATTTATTCATTCTTGATGATGATGTTTTTTTTTCATTTACAATACAAACACGCCAAACACGTTCGTTTCCCAAATCAAAAATTATTATTTTAGTTGAATTGAAAACAAAAGTAAATCAAATGATTTGAATTATCGAGATATTATTTAATAATTATAATAATTAAAATAAATTACTTTCAATCGATCGATCAATCAATTATTTTGTTTTAATGTTTACCTTTTGTTTTATTTTCTTCTAATTAAAACAAAAAATTTTTTGGCAAAAAGGGTGGGAGAAATTTTCTGATAAATTTTCTCATATTTTTAATTTTATAGGAAGTGAAAAATGTTCATAAACCAGAAAAAAATGGCTCATCCATTTGGTTTGTACCGAAGTTTCTAATTTAAAAAAAACGCTGAATATGAAGAGAACGAACCAGTAAAACCGAAAAAAATCAAATTCTTTTGTTCGATTAATTATTCGGTCATTGAACGATCATTAATTATCATCGACAAACATTGATTGCCTATCGGTCATATTCATATTTTTAAAAAGGAAAATGAATGGCAAAAAAACAAAATACAAAACAAACTAATAATTAATGATTTCAATCAATTTTATATATGAATTTTGGCTATTTTGATCATCATTAGTAACTAAAAATGACATCCGAATTATTCAATCCATTCGATTGATTGATTGATTGATTGATTGAATTTTTATTTTATTCAAACGAAGCAATTTTTTTACGGTAATAATTTGAATGATCGATATCAGATCATAATGTGAATGAAACAAAAACAAAAAATAAATAAATAAACAGAACCAAACCTAAACAGTGTAAAGAAAAATAATTGGACCGATTTTTCTCTGAAAAAATACTTTTTTCGTTAAAAGAAAACAATCTAATAATGATTACATAATGATTAGATAATATTTAGCCCGATCAACAACAACAAGAACGAATGAATCCAAAATTGACAAAAATAAATAATGACAATTTCTCTTCAGTACAAAATGAACAATAAACTATAGATTATATCGAAAAGAAATGTTTGTTTGTCTTCAAGGGTTTCAAACAACAACAACAACAACAATTATCATCGAGTAGATCATCATTTTAGACGTTAGATCAATTATTATTTTCGGTTTGTTGTTTATCGAGATTCATAAATAAATTTGTTTTTTTCTTTTTCTGCCTAGAAATATATAATATCTTTTTTGTTCTATTGCCCTATTGACTTACATTTGATATTTTCTTCTTCTTCTTCTTCCATTCTATCAATTGCTTTGTTTATTATTATTATCACCTGTGTGTGTTTGTATATTATCTATTATCATGTTATCATCGCTATACGAATGAAAGTTTGATTAAAACAAAGTTCATTGGCTTCATTTCAATAGCATTTGTTGCTGAATTTGACCCACACACACACAGTACTATGTTTATCATTTTTTTTAATCCACACTTTTACTAATTAAAATAAATGCAACAAAGCATATTAGATTCTCGAATTTGGACAAACAAACATTATTTGTTGTTTTGTATAATTCGATAATTCGAATTGCATTTTTTTGGGGGGCTTTTCCTCAACCACAAAAAAAAATTGTATTTCAATGGTAAAAGTTTTCGTTGTTGTTCGATCTGGATCAGGCAAAACAGGACAAGAGCAAAAAAAAAAGAATAACATGTTGAACAATAGTCTTAGTGATTGTAATCAAAATGGTTCATTATTGATAAATACAACAACAATATATGAAAAGAATTGGCTTGATTTTCGTATTAAAATTATTCTTCAATTATTGATACTATGTTTTATTTGTTTTGCATTATTTATTCTTTGTACGGCACCACAAAATGATCGTCAACAACAACAGCAACAGCAGCAACAACAACAACAACAACAACAAGATGATAATGATAATTTGAATGATAATTTAAACCGACAATTATCATCATCATCATCATCATCATCGATTTTGGATTTTAATCTACAAGCAAAAGATTCTACATCAGAACGATTAAGATCGAATAATTTCATTGTTAATAACAATTGTTAAAAAATTAAAAATTTTTTAATTTTTTTCATTATCAGCTGCGGGTTGAATTTGATTTGCTGATCTCAATGATGATACTTTTTTGTTGCTAGATGATTTCTGTGATGGTTGTGATCTAGCTGGAAACGGAACCTGTGGTTGTGTCTGTGGCGGTCGCGGTTGCGGTTGCGGATGTTGTTGTTGTTGTTGTTGTTGCGGCTGTTGCTGTTGCTGCTGTCTATAATCATTAGATCGATCCGTTTCATTCAAGCAAATTGTTCGTACAATCATTTCGCAAACAACGTATGGATCCATATTTGATGCTGGTCGACGATCTTCAAGATATCCTTTACCTTCATCATATGTTTGTCGATTTATTCGTACAGATGCACCGCGATCAGCAACACCCCAACTAAATTGATCAATTGATGATGTTTCATGACGACCAGTCAATCGTCTTGCATTATCCGCACCACCACTTGGATCATATTTTACTATATGTGCACGATGACGTAATGCTAATTTTTTACATGCTGCTTCAATCACTTTAAGTCCACCCTCTGCACGCATTGCTTTTGTAGAAAAATTTGTATGACCACCGGCACCATTCCAATCACCGGGGATTGGTTTCGGATCAAATGTAACACGAACATAAAAGTCTTCAGCAACGCGATGTAAAAAAAATCTTGACATCCACATATCATCACCAATTTGTATTCCTTCACAAGGTCCAATCTGATATTCCCACTGTGATGGCATTACTTCGGCATTTTCACCTGCAATTTTCATACCGGCATACATACATGCACGATAATGTGCTTCAACAATATCACGACCATATACTTTACCCGCACCAACACCACAATAATATGGACCTTGTGGTGCTGGAAATCCACCTTGAGGCCATCCTAAAGGTGATCGATTCGATCCTTCTAATAATGAATATTCTTGTTCAATACCAAACCATGGTTCCAGTTCGGCAACTTGATCCATAACTTTTTTACACGAATGTCGTGAATTTGTTGCGCATGGAGATTTATCATATTTCATTGTTTCACATAAAACAATACGATTTTGTCCACCACGAAATGGATCCATATACATTGCTACCGGATATAGATACACATCAGAGTTACTTCCTTCCGATTGTCGAGTTGAAGAGCCATCGAAATTCCAAATAGGTAATTGATGAACACCTTGTGGAATAAAACTCAACGTTTTCGTTTTAGCACGTAAACCTTGACGACCATCAATCCAAACATATTGTACTTGTACACAATTTTGTGGCTGTTTTAATGCGAAATAACGAGCCAAAAGATTAGCATTACAGGCGTATTGATCCATAGAAGCAATTTAAAAAAAAAACTATAGATTTACAGATCTCACTTTCTAAATAACAAAACAAAATAAATAAGAAAGAACAAAATTTCAGCGCTTATAATGCCTGAGTGAAGAATTCTTGAATAATTAAAAACTTTGTTGGATAAATTCATTTGCCAAAAATAACAATTAAATTCGCACGAAAAAAATTCAAAATAATATTGAATATACAATAATGTGTCACGTACTATAATGAAGGATCATAGTTGTGGACACATGGGCAAATTAATGTGTTGCAAGTTACATCGTTGAATTTTCGTTGTTAAAAAATTATCCAAATCACGATCAAAATTGAGTTTTCATTTTCATCTTCATCTTTATCGAAGTTTTTCATCGATTTGTTCTACTTATTAGAAAATTTTGAATTAAATTCATACAAGATTATCGATGGCAACTCCGAAGAAATCCTCTAACCATCATTCAAATCAAGATGAACGAGTGGAATGGGGATTATTGTTAAAGCAGAAACCACGTGAAATTGTTTTGTCTGGTGATAGAATTTCCAAGCAAATTGAAGAGGAAAATGGATTGAACGAAATCTTATTCAAGTTAAAATCATTAAATTTTTTGGAAATCACAAATACATCATCATTAACATCGATCCAAGCAAAAATTTCGAATCTCGACAATTTGACCAATCTTGTATTGCAAGGAAACAAATTGTCATCGATTCCAGGTATGTATAGTGATTTTGTGAAAAATTTATTTAAATCATTGAATTCAATATTTTTTTGTAGCCGAAATTGGGCAGCTAACTAAATTGAAATGTCTTAATCTTTCTCGTAACATGATTGAAACATTGCCTGATGAACTTTTTGAAAATCTTGTCAATCTACAAACATTGAATTTGGAACAGAATCAATTAAAATCATTGCCCGAAATGTCAAAATTATCATCATTAATCTCATTTAAGTGTGGTTCGAATCAATTGAAAGAATTTCCTGGCTCATTGTGCAGTAAAATCCGTAAAAATAAGGAATTATCGGCTCAATCATCTATTCCAATCTATGAAGGTGGGGCCGTACATTTGGCCGAATTGGATGCATCACATAATCAGATTGATGAATTACCCTATACAATCGAACGTTTGGTTGCTTTAAAAGTATTGGATCTAAGCTTTAATCAAATTACGATGATTCCAGCGGAATTGGCAAATTGTCCAAAATTGAAGGATGCCCAATTAAAAGAAAATCCGATTAAAGATCGTCGTCTTTATAAATTGATTGAACAATGTCCAACAAAAAAAGTTCTCGATTATCTTCGTACGAATGCTAGTCCAGCAAAAAAATCTAGTAAAAATAATAATGAAGATGAGGATGATGATGATGAAAAAAAGGACAATTTCAATGATTCTGATGAAAAACGAAAACCAGAATATTTTATTCGAATTCATCAAAATCAGCCGGATAAATTTTTTGTATTTGTTTCAAAATCAATTATTAATCAACGAAAAATTGTGGCTTGCATCATTCATCAATTGGATTTATCAAATTCTAAAGTTTTGAAAAAAATTCTAGCCATTCAAACAAGTAAGTCATACTAAAAAACTTGAATCGATATATTTAACAATGTTATCTTTTCATTGATGATGACAGAATTACATCAGTATGTATGTGACAATCGTCAAAAAGCAACAATTGCCACACATGATCTCGCTAAATTATTGCCATTGCCACCTACGTATGCATCAAAAACGAATGATGCTAAAACATTACAATCTGAAGCGGAACAACTACCACCACCTCAACGAGCTGTTTATTTTGATGGTCGGGTACCGACGAAAATACGTTTAGTTCCGTTAGGTCGTCCCAATGAAATGACTGCTATGGAATTATATCGTCTATTGAATGATGAAGCTGATCAGTATCGTAAGGAGAAAAAACGCAGTACTATCAGTGGAATACATAAATATATTCATTTGTTGAAGGGAAAACAATTGTATCCGGTATTATTGGATTATCGTGATAATGTTCTATCATTACCACCATTAACTAATTCAGATTATTCAAAGGTAATAAAAATTTATTTATTTTTCCGAATTTTTTCAAATCAAATTTTATTCACCTAGATTGGTCCGAATACAAAATCAATGTTTATCGAAGTTACCGGTGAAAGTATACCAACATGTCGTACGGTTATGAATGAATTAATACATTCATTTTTAGTTGCAAACATTATGGATGATGATGGAGAAACAATACCATTATTCGCTAATAATGAAATGATAATTGAACCGGTTATATGTGAATTGACTGATATAGCCAGTACACAAAATGAATTATTAGTTAAATATCCGGCAAAAATTGATCTACAATTTGAAGATGTTCAAATTATCAATGAATAAATTTTATCAACGATGATCAATCAAATCAATTTTGCTTAATATCATCATTGTTCAAAAGATAAAAGTGGTGTTTTTTTTGTGTTGTATACGTGATAATTATGATTATATTGATTTTTTTTGTTTGATGTAATAAAATCTATTTTTTTTTGTTTATTTCTTTTTGTATGTATACAACCAATATATTTTGGCATATAAACACACGCATTTATGAATGATCAGTTTGATTTTGAATGATTGATTGACGGCATAGACAGGGAAAATCCTTAAATGAAATAAATCAAACCCCAAATCAATATAGCTCTACCAAAACTACATTTACACGTTTTAAGCCTTATTTTTTTTTGGCTTATCTTTGTATACTCAAGAAAAAAAGATTGAATATAATCGTGAGCCATCAAAGCAATCATTTTGTTTTTTTTTCTTTCTCTATCATTTCAAATTTCTTTTTCACATCGAAAATGTTTATTAACCAACAATAATAGTATTTCAATGGCAATATGATCATGAACATCTATCTAATTTTGATATTCTTTACCATATGACCATGAGGATAATGATAATGATTAAAAGTATTTCAAGTATTATATTTTGGATACTAATCAATCAAAATAGATGATGATGAATGAAATGATAAACTTACAATCTTTTTTTTCTATTGAATGTTTTCGATTTCATTTTCCCATCAATTTGTATTTTTATTTCGAAATCCTTTCTTGGATTTAGCCAAAACAGGAAATTGAACACAAAAAAAAATGAAAATAATTAAATCAAAATAAATTATTCGATCTGCGCCTGCTCAATTATTTTTTTTTTGCAAATAATCTAATTATTGGTGTTTACTTGATTGATTTTTTCCTTCATACTTCCGCTTCGTTAGATTTTTTTTTAGTATTATCTTTCACAACCCGTTCATCATCAATCCGTATTCATAACAAAACAATATTTTGGATCAATAAATTGAGGGAAAAATAGCAACCATAATTGAATGTTTGGAAAAAGAGCAAAAATTCCAATTAATTTAATTATAGAAAAAAAAATGAATAACAAATAGAACGAATTGATGTTCAAATATGTGTTTAGGTGTGTTTGTGTGTGTGAGAGAGAGAGAGTAAGACATGATGATGAATTAATTTTGTTATTATAAATGTCATGGTTACTATGATTAAGAATAATATTACAGATAATGTTATTATTATCAAATTTTTTTAAAAAAAAGTTTCATTTTCTTTTTTCATACAACAACAACGACAAAAAAAGCTGCAGAATATCATCAATACACATATTTTACATTGGTAGGGAGTAATTGCCATCTGAATATTATGTTTTCAAAGAAATTTATCTGTGTTGAATGTGTATCAAGATAGAAAGAAATGTAATCCATGTATGTAGGTGTATGGGTGTTTGTGTGTTTATAAAATGAAATGAATCAATATATAATTTATATATGACTAGTGATGTGTGTTTCATCGGGATATTCTGTTTTATCATATTTGATTGAAAATAAAATTAAAAACAATTAAAATTATAAAATAATGAAAAATAAAATAATGTTGACAAATCATTCATTCATTCACATTACATCTAATTAACCACCCCATTTTCCATAGAATTGAACAAATTAAAAAAAACAAACAAATTATTAAATTGAGCTGAAATTATTGAATTATTTGTTGTTTAGGCCAGAATATTGAATATTAATCAAAAACTATATATAGATCTATAATTATAGAGGTTTTTTTTTGTTGTAAAAAATTTTATCATTCTAAAAAATAGAGAATTATCTGTTATTAGCACGTTATATCGGTTTATTATGTGTATATTATTGCACGAATAATTTTCGTAATATATTCGTGTTGAAAATTGAATCATACAAATATCAAATGTGATTGATTGCAGAGTTATTGTTGATTGAAAAATTTTTTGCTACATTTTTCAATCATAAGTAATTGAATCTGATTTTGTAATTTTTGTCGAAAAGAAAATTTTGGACTTGTTGATATATATTGTTGAATAAAAACAAGAATCAACGAATGTTGGTTGTTTGTTTTGATTGTTGTTTTCGTTGTTGTTGTTGTTTTTGGACTTTTGTGTGATTTTCATCGAAATTTATCATCAATGAAATGTACGTGTTGATTATGATGGATGGAGATGTAAAAAAAATGAATGAGGCAGCATTATATTTATTTTTCATTTTATTTTCTTATGATGATGATGATTATCATTCGGGAAAAAATGGACCAAAAATAAACAGTTTGATTGATTTGTTTATGTTTTTTTTTCATTAATTTTTCTTTTTGTATGTTTGTTGATGTTGATTTTCAATTTCTTCTTGTTTATCCACGACGTAACACATAGCTCATATCATCATCAATATATTTAAAATCTTTAATTTTATCATCAAAATCCGTACGTTTTTGTGGTGAATATAAACCATTTTTATGATGATATAATGGTACATTTGGATCATCAATTTCATCATCATCATCGGACATTTTCATCATACGATCATTTTCGGATGTACCATTTGTTTTTGTTAGACCATTTTGTTGTTGTCGTCGTCGTTCACATTTGACCAGGCTGAATAATAAAATTAATAATAATGATAATAATGCATATAGGCAAACTAATGCAATTATTCCAATAAATAATGGCCAACCATCGGTTAATATTAAACCAGATTTATAAATAATAGCAAATATGATTAATGCTAATGCTAATCCCAAATAAACAATAGCCATTGTAATGATTGGACAAAGCCATAAACGGCAAACAGAAATCAATGTGATCAATGTTAATATGAATGGTAGAATTGATGCCATGCCCATATACCAGAATGAATCACCTAATAAATTTCAACAACAAAAAAAATGATTAATTAAAAAACGATTAGATAATGAAATGATCAATAAGATATTGGTGAGCAAAAGACCATCACGAATCAATTAAGTGAGAAATAATGCCAAAAATGAGCACCTGTATCTATCCATCTATCTATCGTAAGTCTGGAGCCAAAAGTAAATAGATCGATCAAAAGATATTGATTCTATAGAGAAACATTCATCTTGAACAAAACAAACAAACAAAAACTTTTCTTCCATTTTGTTTGTTTCTTCTATTTGATTTAATATTCAAATAAAGAAAATAATCGATCGATTTTTTATCTTTTTTTTGATTGTTTTGTAAATACGAAAAAATCTATCCTGTTGTGTTTTTTAGTTAGTCCATATAAAATTCATATCCATAATTCATTTTTGTCATGGCACCAACATCATCTTATTTTACCATTATCATCATGACAAAAAACATTCGATGATGTTGATTGAAATGATTGGCGTTGGCGGAAAACCAGCCATCATCAACGGACATGAAGGTTTCATTTTTTTTCTCTCTCTCTTTTGTATTCTTTGTCATTTGCCGAATATGATGGATGGATGGAAAGAAAAAAAACAAAAACAAAATTTCAAAATCAAACTGATCATATATACCACACACATTTTAAAAAATGCACAAAAAAAATTAAAAAATTTCAAAAACAAAACAAAAATTTATTCAAACGACAAACATTCATAAATGGTAAAATGAAGAATATGGCGACCATATGTATTTTGTACGTCAAATATTTTCTTTTTCGGCATTTTTTAACTAAATTATTTAAAGCAAACATCATCATTCAAAAAATCAAAAATAAACTTGTTGAAAAATAAATTTAAACATTCCCTCACTCTCGTTGTTTCAAAATTAACTAAACTAAAAAAAATTTGAAAAATTTCTTCTTAACAAACAAACAAAAAAAAACTAACTAAACATTCAGATAGATTTGAATGGAATTTCGTGACGATAAAAAAAACATGAAGAAAATGAAAAAGTTTATTCGTAGGATTATGATTTGCAATACTTACGAAGACAATTTTTAAATTGTACATTATTCATTGAATCAAAGGGCATTTGTGGTGGAATATATGGACATTGATCTAAAAGAATTGAACTTTGTACAATCCATTCATTCCATGGACAATTTCGTCGATAAAATGTTGTTACCAATTTTTCTTCAAACGATTCTGTTGCTGTTGTTTGTTGTTGATAATTCGATCTTTTTCTTAATAATCGTTTGATCAATGAATGACTTTCACTTTGTGAACTTAAAAATTGATCATCTTCATTAATATTACGTTGTGGCCGTAGACCAACAATTTGTTCAGTAGAATAATAAACACCTAAATATATGGTAATTATAGCACCAAAACCAATTACACATATACATAATAGACCAATTAATGTCCCTTGTAGACAATAATGACGTTGACTTCGATTAATACACATTTTTATTGATGTTGTCGATGATAATTGATGATTTCAATAAAAAAATTCCACAACAACAATCAAGAGAAAATATCAAAATATTCATCAAACAGAATATCAACAAATGGATTCCGTTGTTGTTATTGTTGTTTATTCGTTTCACAAACGATTTTAATCTTGTTCAATGTTGTTGTTATTTTCTTCGTAGTTGTGGCACCTTCACCCACTAACCTAACTTGGCTTTTTAATTTTTTTTCTTTTTTTTTGCTCACTTGTTGAACACTCCTGAAGTATACACTAATACAAACGCAAAAGATACAGAGAGATATTAGTGAGGAAGAGAGAAAGAAGAAAAAAAAGACTTGGTAAGAATATACACAATCAATCAACCAATTCAAAACTTTGTTGATAGTTTGTTGTCGGAATGAATGAATGAATGAATTAGTTGGATTCACTATAGTTGTTCGTATACGATATTTTTTTGTTTCCTATCACTCAATAGTGGTGGTAGTTTCTTTTGCGATGATAGTAGTGGTGATGAATAATAGTGTTGAAGTTGATGGTGGTAATCATTCGAATTCGTAAAAAAAAGTATATGAAAAAAGAAAAGGAAAAAAAAGGTTAGATCATCTTCGAAGGAAACAAGAAAGAGAAAGACACTTGAACCCGAAAGGAAAGAAAATATTAAGTGAAGTTAACTTTCACTATATAAACAACGAACTGAAAACTTTAAAAATGTAACCAAATTGATGTTTAAAATGTGAATATACATTCGTTTGATTTAGGGTAGGGCCCACATCATGTCAATAATAGGGTAAGTGTAATGATGTTTCGAAATAATGAAAAATATTTCATAAAAAAACATCATTATCAATTCGAACAACAAACAAAAAAAAAATGGCAGAAAATTTCATCATTATCATCAAACAAAATGAATGGCTAAATCATTATCATTGTGTTTGGTAGTGGTAGAAAGGAAATATTATCAACAACAACAACAACAAATGAATAGTTTTCATCATACAGACAGAAACAAACAGAAAAAACAATCTTATGGGCGAATGATAGATGTTGACGAGAAAAAAAATAAAAATAAAAAAGAGTCTTGTTTGTTTGTATCCTTGGTCTGGGAATAATGTATGGATGTTCTTCGTCGTCTTCGTCTTCGTTGTTGTTGTTGTCGAGCTTTTTCTCGTTTAATATCGATTCTAATTCAACGGAAAAAGAGAGAGAGAGAGAGAGGGAGATGTAAATGCAATCGAGAGAAAAAAAAACCAGATTCGGAAAATTTTTCGTCAATTTAATTATTTGGCATCAAGTATTATCTTGGTGGTGGCAGTTGTTTGTTTGTTTGTTTTTTTCAATAGACTTTGGTTGGGAGGAGAAAATGGTTATATTTTTGTTTTTCTCAAAATTGATTTTTGTAATCTCCGGTTTTACAGTTATGACAACAACAACAACAAAAAATCATTACACACATGTTCAGTTTGGTCGATTAATTTTTTGTTGTTTCATTATCAAACAAATTGAATTGATGGTAGGATGAAATTTCAAAAACATCAATTTTCGATCAATAATAATTTCAATTCAATTAAAGAAAAAAAAATACAGCTATTAAATATGTCATTTTATTGTTATGGCAGGTTAGGTTAGACAGGTGATGAATCTATCGATTATGACAATGGTTTTTTTAAAAAATAAATGATGCTACAGGTGTCTTTTGTGATCATCATCATCATGTTGCATCATAACTGAATTACGATCATAATGGAATCGAAAAATAAAAAATATTCACCAATATTAACATGATCAATATTAATGGAAAGAGGGAAAAAAAGATCGTCACTCGATCAATATGTAAATTCTTCATTTTTTACAAACATCATGATGATCATGCAACAAATTACCATTAGTTAATATTCATGGCACATGCAATACGATTTTGACAAAAAAAAAATTTAATGAATGATTTATTTGAAAAATAGAGAATCCATTAGAGATCAATTAATTGAATTAATCAATTGAAATGATTTCATTTTTTGTTTTGTTTTTTTATTTCTTTTGGGCATCATAATTCAATTTTGTGTTTACCCCGATCGAAAAATATATAATAAAATAAAATAAAATCCACCATCATGATGATTATGATAATTTAATTCTATCGTTGTCCTACCAGCATCCATCATTATCATCATCATCATCGTCGTCAACCTCGTTATGGTTTACGATAATGCATAATTTTTTTTTTGCATTGCATTTATATGATGATGATGATGATGAATATTTACGTCGTATGTTGGTCGTCGGGCTGGTTTTCTTCTTTTTTTGACTGTTATTTCGATTAACCTAATTATTATTATTACCATATCATGATGTATGATGAAAAACAAGAACATCAAGAGTGATACAATTGATGATAGAAAAAGAGAAAAAACGATGTCAACAACGTTATATCGTCGATTTTGGTTGTCGTTTTTCATTCAGAATGCTATATGATGATGATAATTTTTTTTATTTCTAATCATCATTTCATTGGTTTGATATGATCGTAACATAGCAATAATATACGGTAAAATCATTTGAAACCAAAAAAAAAGGGGAAATGATTTTTTTTTTGTTTTGGTTTTGATTTTGTTCAATTGAAAAAAAAAACAAATAAACAAACAAACAAAAATCTTTAATCTTATTCAACATTGCGTATCGAATTAATTGATTTTGAGTTTATTTTCTAATATTCCTTATACTCAGTAAATGTTTTGCCTGAATCGTTGAAGATGAAAAAAATCAAACATTTTTGAATACAACGACAAGCAATATACATAGGACATTTGAGGGAATGTTTAGATTGGAATTTTTTTTAAATTGATGAATTGATTGGCATGATTGTTTGAAATAATTTTAAATTTTTGCTGTTTTGGTTCATAAAATTAAAAAATTTGAACTAGTTATGTCATTTATTTTTGAGGCGAAAGAAGAAAAAAATTCTAATGATAAATGTGTTATGGATTGTGTGGGTGGTTATTGAATTATTATACTGTGCGATGTGAAATTCAAATTTTTTTTGGCAATTATCGAAATTGAATCCGCGGAATAAAAACCCGGAATAATTGTCATTTCGATGAAACAAAATCAATCAAACGAAATGAAAACGAGAAAAAAAACAACAAATATAAATACCTTGATGTAATTTGATGATGGATAAAGTATCAAATGATAAAATCAATCAAATTAAATCGGTGATCGATTGAGGTGGCAAAACAAAAAAGAAAAAAAGAAAATTGAAATAATGATTCATGCATCATGAACGTATCATAGAAAAAAAGGAAAAAAGGAAAATATAAAACAAAGCATAAATTCACATAATTTCTTAAATTTGATCAGACTGCAGTAGTAAAATTGTTCCAAAATTATACCACCACTAAAAATTTTTGTTCAATTCCATCATCATCATCATCATCATCAACATTGTCGACAACATCATCATCGAGAAGTGGTATTTGTTACCAAAAAAATAAAAAATAAATTCCCATCCAAATTGCTATATACCGAAATTATATCATATTCAACCGGAGAGAAAAAAACGAATCAAGAATTAGACTCGCCGCATGAATATATATGATATGCATGTGTGTTGTTCATAAAAAACAACGTACAAACTATAATATAACCAATATATTTTTTGGCCGAGTTCATTCATAAATGTTAACATCATCCATTGATCCTGGATCTTAAATTTAATAATGGATTCTAATGATACAATTTACACACACACACATACATTATTACACTTTATCGCCATCTAGTTTTGTTGAATTGATCTAAAAAAAAATGTTTTATTCAATTTGAAAAAAAAATTATCATTAAAACATTTTTTATCGTTTAATAAATTTTCGTTTTCGTCGATATTTATCTTTTGTTTTAAGGATGATTTGTCGTTTTCGATATCTGATTGAATTATCGATGTATATTTCTCGATTTTGTTGTTGTTGATATTCCAATTGTTCTTGTTGAGCAGCATATTCCTCTTCGAATGGAATCTCAATGATTGTAAATAAAGATTGTGGATTAATCGAATGTCAGCTATTTGAATTTTCCATTTTGAATTTGGAATAAATTAATTCAAATATGAACGATACGGAAGAGATAACTATGCCGATTACAAACAAATACATAAATGTTACTATAGTTTGTCCGGATAGTATTCTTGTTTTGGGAAGTTTTTTATAATTCAAAACTTTTTCTTCATTGTGATTAACAAGTTCATCTTCGGCTCGTGCACGTAAATGATTTAAAAATAATCGACGATCCATAAATTTTAATAGACCATAATAAGATAATGATTTGAATCTATTCAAACATAATATAAAAAACAAATTAAATTTAGTTAATAATCAACAATAACAATAAACTTACAGTCGTGATAATCGTATACGATTATCATTATCAATTGTTGAACGCATTGCATATGTTCCTAATGTTGGAATCATTGAATCTTTTGAAACATGAAATCCAGTAGATGGATAATATTCTTTTAATGATAATGCACGATTTTTATTGATAATTAATACATAATCATCTTCGATAAGTTTATCCAACATTTCAACACTGATTATATCGATATGTGTATAATATTCTGCACGATTCATTAACATTGGAAATGATTTTTGAAAAAAATAATCAGTCGATGAATTTGGTTCAAGCATAATACGATATGATTTTGGTATTTTAAATAAATCTTCAAAATGATTAATCTTTTTATATTGTTTGGCTAACAATATAGCAGTAAAATCATTTGAAAATAAATGTCTTAACAGAAATGATCCAATAAGCCAACATATTAATGAACATGACATTGATGATGATGACAATAATCGATGATCAGATTGTCCAATTAATAATGAAAATAAATTGATATAATTTGTGATAATATTCATAAACCATAATTTTCGACCATTTTTTAGAATATTGATAAAACAATTTAATGCACCAAGAATCAAGAAAGATAATGCAATCAACATCCAGATGAGTAAACTAAAACATTCAAATATTCGAAATGGATTATCATGAAATTTTGGTAATTTTGTGAAACTAAAAATTGAAATCAATTCTTTGTTTGGCATCAGATAAGTTTGATCAATAATTTGTTCACGACCGTTGACCATAGCAAATATATGGCCAATTAAATCAGATTCATTTCGTTCAAATTGTCGTAAGATTCCTGTCCAACTACCATTGATTAAACGACCACCATAATCTTCGTTGGATCTAATAAAATTTATACTTTGATTTCAAATAGAATCTTAATTTGATTAACAAACAAAAAAATCGAATTAAATCATACCTGCATTGAAGATATTTTAATATAATCAAAAATAATTGATTATTCGATGAACAGATCATCGTTTTGTTTGTATGAATATTTTCAAATACTTCACTATAGAAAAGTCCAATATTTATATGACATTTTGATTGATCAGGATCATTATTTGGATAAAATGTTTTACCATTGATCCAATCAATACAATATGAATCTAATGTAATTGATTCATTCATTGATAAACATATAATCGAATTGATATGAATATGATGCAAAATTTTTGTGTTTCTAATAAATTTTTTTTGTCTATTACTTGTGAAAACACAATATATTTTCAAATGAATTTGCTTTTTCACAATGAAAAAATGGTTTAGTTTTGAGAAATTTTGGTTGGCGATTTATTTGCGGCATATTTTTTGGGAATATTTTTGATTATTATTTATTATTATCATTATTATTATTTTTTTGACCTGGTTATAATTGCTGACCTTGTCTATTGTTATCATTATTATTAATTTATAGAAAATATAAGATTCCATTTTGATTTGATCAATATTATCTAGGATTAACAAATAAAACATAATAATAAAAGCATGAATGATTGATTGATTGATTAATAGATTGAATGATAAAATGAATTTGATTCAATGTAAATTACAGACAAATCAATTGATTGTGAATTCCATTTTTATTGTTATTATTCGGATAAATTTAGAAAGAAAAGAGAATTTTGTTTTCTTCTTTTCAGTTATAAGCAAAAAAAAAATTATTCATTTAAAATCAATCGATAAATCAATAATCATTAATCAAGAAAATTGTAGAAATGATGAAGGATCTAAATGTTGTAATTGATTGGTCATCGATTGATTTGATTGACTACCCTGACTTGGTTGACGTCGATGACCAAATCGATTTGTTGTCAATGATGTTTGTGATGACATTAAATTATCCACATTCGATATTGATTGTGATTCTATTAAATCGACATTCATTGTCATCGGATTATCATTGTTGTCAGTTGTGGGCCAGTTGTTTTCCTTGATAGTTTCGATTGTCGACAAATTTGTTCGCGATGGTTTTGGAGGTGGCATTTGTGGTGGTTCCGGTTGTTCAATCGAATTATGAAAATGTATTTCAGTCATTGATGATTGATTTCCATTATTATTATCATTATTATTACCATCTTCATTATTATTGTTAAAATTTTGAAATGTATTAGAAAATAATGATTGAATACGTCCGGAAAACATTGAATCATCCCATGATTTTAATTGATTAAGATATTCTTGTTGTATACATTTTCCACGACAATCATAACCATGTTGACGAAGTTGACATTGATCAATAGTACGATAATAATAGCCAAGTATAAGAAATTGAAATGTTGCCATGAATAGTAGTATGAAACAGAAAAAATTTTCACGAATTCCCGGATGAAATAAACCGATGAAAAATAATATAAACGATATAATACCGTTTATAATTAAACAATGTGAATAATGACGACACATTGCAATGAATGTTGAAAATGATAAAATACCAACGGATATATAGAATAATACGGCAGTGGATGCAAAAACACTCCATGAATTTCGATAATCACCCCATTCTGTTTTATCCAAACTGATCCAATAACCAAAAAATGAATTCACAAATAAACAAAAAACATTAACCAATGTTGATATTTTAAGTATATAATCTAATTTGGTATCTTCAGAATTAAATAGACCGGTGTTGAACATGATTTTTGTTGCTGTTGTTATTGTTGTTGTTGTTGTTGAGGTTTTCTTTTTAATTGGCAATCATCAATCACAGATTCCGTTCTACAAAAGACATTGACAATATTGATCTGAATGTCAATCTGATCGATTGGTTTTCGCACATTATGTATGATATGGAACACCCACGCATTATTATTGGATTGATCGAAAACATTGTCGATTATGAATTGAGAGGAGTTTCTTTTCAATCAACAACAAAATTGATTCATTGTTATCAGAACAAATAGCGTAATCAAAGCAAAAAAAAGAACAATCGATAATTTTGATATTAATCTGTTTATGATATTTATTTAAAAGCCAAAAGGAAATAAAAAGTATTTTGTTGTATAATACAAATTTTTGTTATTGAAAAATATAAAATTTTAAATTCTACATTCTACTACCACTGGTCCATGTAGCATTATGATCATATTCATTTTCATCCAAAATAACCGGATTCAATTTAGGTAATTCACCTTCAGCTGAAACCATTGACCATACTCTTGAACGATGTCCATTTGCATTATCATCAAATGGTTCAGAATCATAATGTTGTGTGGTATTTTTACCTTGATATGGTACATAGAAATAAGCCTGTACGGCAAATATAATAATATCAACCAACATAAGTATGGCAAAAAAGAAAAATTCCATCGACTATTTTAAAAAGTTGAAATCAAAAAAAAAAATTATAAAATTTTGTTTTAAAAAAATCATTCCTAATACTAACTTGTTTTGGAAATAATTGAACATCAGCAATAATTGCTACCAATAGATTACCGATAGTAACATTTAATAGCCAAGCAGCTTGTATAACAGATTTCATTGATTTCGGTGCTTGTGAATAGGAAAATTCTAATCCAGTTACAGAGAACATAATTTCAGCAGCCGTAATCAATACATATTGAATTATTTGCCATAATACAGATATTTTATTTGATTCGATCAATTGAATTAGTTGAAAATTTATTTTATCTGCATGTTCCATATCACCGGTGATCAATTGAACATATGCTGTACCTTGACCAAGTTTATAATTGCTTCGTGCTTCACCTACACTCATCGATGATGATTTTCCTTTCACTTCTATTTCGAATGTTTTTAGTTTACCAATCGTATTGATAGTGAAATTTTGAATTATCGAATCAATAATGACATCATCATTTGTATCGGTGGATGAAAATGTTTCATTGTGAAAATTTTTCAAATTAAATATTGTAAACATTTGCGCACCACTACCAATTGGTTTACTTAGAACATTATCCATCACAAATATCAATGGTGATTGATTGTTTTTTTCCAAATATATTACCAATGTTTTATCATTTTTTAACGTAATATTTTTATCATAGGGAACAATAAATTTATCATTTAGTTTTACTCTTGGAATACTGGCATATATTTTCAATGGATTTTGTTCAAATTCAATGTTTGAATTAAATTCATCAAAAATTGACATGTTCATTATTTTAGAATTTTCTGTTATCAACATCAAATGATTTGTACCTTTAGCCATTGTTGGTGGTAATTCTTTTTCAATTTGTGTTTGTAAAATACCACAAGCGGCAAATGAAAGACTGGCAAATATACCACCAATAACCATACGACGTAATGGTTTATTCAAACCGATACGATTAAATATTGGATAGATAACATTTTCAAAAAAAGGTATAAATGCAACAATCAATATTGGATTGATAACCTGGATTTGATCCGGTTTGATTGTATAGAAACCAAAATCACCATTTAATCGTATTGCTTGTAATGTCCATCTTGAGGATTGTTGATCAAATAATGCCCAAAAAATTGGTAATGAAATATAAAGAAATAGAATACGCATTAATGTTTTTACTTCAAGTATTGTTTGATGATTATGATAAAGATCGGCATGATCAAGCCAATGTTCGCGTTTCGGTGCCATTGATGAAAATTTTCCCGTCAATGCATGCTGTAGAAGGAAAAATTTCCATATAATCAAAAAATGCAATGAAATAAAAAATAATGTAAACATACATAAACACATTTACCGACGGTAAGAATAACATTTTGTTTTTGTGGCGGTACAACACGATAACCATACCAAAAACGTCCGATTACAAAAAATGCCAATGAAACAATCATAAGTATAGCAGGTATACCGAATGCTAATGGATAACAATCTGAACGACCTAAACAGCCAACATCTTCACGTAGAATTGGTGTTAAAAATGTTGAAATTAAACTACCACTATTGATAGCGATATAAAAGAATGAAAAAAATCGTTGTAATTGTTGCTCTTGACCACGAATAAATTGATCGCCACCAAATGCAGCAACACATGGTTTAATACCACCGGTACCGATTGCAATCAATGCCAATCCAAGCATTGAAAATAGAGTCGAACCACTGATCGAAGAAAGGGCAATAACAATACTACCGGCTACATATAAACATGATATAATCAATATGGTCCAATATTTTCCTAAAAATGAATCGGCCAATACAGCACCAGCTAATGGAGTAAAATAACATGCCATTGCAAACACATGGAATGCCATTGTTGCTGAATTCTCTCCATAACTTAATCGATTCATTAGATATAAGATGAGAATCGCTATAATAATCATAATCAAATGAAACAAAGAATTTTGAAATATTAAATTTTAAATCATAAAAAAAAAGAAAAACATTTTAAATTACTTCTCATTCCATAAAAGGAGAATCGTTCACAGAATTCATTTCCAATGATAAAAATAACCGATTTCGGATATGGTATTGGTGGTTTTTTAACCAAATCTTTATCATCGAAATTTGAATCCGAATCTTCGGGTGATATTTCATTATTATTCTTGTCCATGATGATAATTTTTTTTTTTTTGAAAAAATCAATTAATTAATTTATAAAAATCGATAAATCAAAACAGCAAACCACAAGTTCTATCCATCCACATTTAAAACACAAGACTAATAAGTTTTGATTGAATTGACTAGATGTGCCAAGACAATTATCAACCAAATATTATAATGTCATTACATCGATAAAACGATTGATAAAATCCGTTTTATTTGGAAAAAATTGGATCGATTAATAGAAAAAAATGTCTGTACATAGAAAACATCTCGACATCATTTTTCATCATTATCATTTTTTCCAATCAAGTTGGTCTTCTTAAAAAACAATTGCAATAGCATCATCATCAATATAAATGTGATTTTAAAAATCTCAACAAAAATTTTGGTTTTTTATTCTTATTCATTATTGTTTTATCTTAGCTAAATATTTATACATTTAATGACGTTTGTTAATGATAAATCAACAATTTACAACAAAAATAATAAAAAATCCATGTCATGTGGACAGTTGTTTAAGAAAAAAAAATGTTCTCATGCAATTCCATTGATGGAATGTGCAAATCGATTGGAAAAAAAGATTAAATGTACAATGGATTTTGATCTATTTACGCTAACGTTATGACGTTATAACACTAAAAAATGATTATCTCTTCAGATTAATTCTATTAAGAGATTCAAAGAAAAAAAAACAGATGATGACATTGACATTGAATTTCATATAATGTCATATGACACAATTTATAATTAATTGATCGATTAATCAATCAATAGATCTAATCAATAATCAAATATATTGGAAAAATCTTGTCGATGTACGTGTGTGAGCGTGTTTCAAGTATTGATTGCGATCTTCATCAAAAAAAAATTGTTTTTCAATCGATTGATTAGAAAAATCTTAAACATTTTTTTCCACCATTTATCGCGTTCTCTTTCCGAGAATATTTATGTTAATTAATAAAGAAATGTGCACCAAAAAGAAAAAAAAGAAAATCTTAATTTTCAACAGAATTCTAAGTTCGGATAAAAGATGGCGTTGATAATACTTTTTCACATTCGTTTTTGATTGGAAAAAAACTGGTTTTCCTTTTATTTCCATGGGTCAAATATCCTGGTTTTTAACAATTGTTAACCAGTTTGTTTTTTTTACGGTTCAGGAAAATAAAACTACACCCACGCCGTGATGTGCAAAAATAATTGACTGATCATCGGGTTCAAAATTCATTCGGATTGAAATAAATACGTACCTGGATTGTACGATAATTTGAATCATAATTTCGATTCGAAAAAAGTCGATGTCGTTCACTCATTTTTTTGTTTTGTTTATTGATTTTGGAATAAAATGAGTGGGTGAACATAGAATGTTGAACTTTGGTAATTCGATTCCATCATTTTATCATAACCTTATCGGAATGGATCCGGTTTTGTTTCCAGATGAATCTAGTTTCTCTTCAATCTTTAGTATTTATGATAAAAAAATTGATTCAATTTTTCTATGAAAACGGATTCATTCAGTATTTTTGATGCGCATTTTATCAAAGTTAATTTCATTTTATCAACAAGAAAAAATATATCAATAAGAAGATCATTTTATCAATAAATATTGTTTTGTTACTTCCAGATATCATTTAAAAATTAACTATCATACTTTTTCGATATATTTTATTTAATGATAAATAATAAGTGATGATGATGATTGTCGTCAAGGATCCACGTCATAATCAATCATTATTGAATTGGCCAATATTGCATCGATTAGAACATTCATTTCTTCATCAAATTCGATCATTTTTAGTGTTTGGTGATCGTGGTACAGAAGTATTGATTATAACTGTCAACGATTTCATCTATACATTTGGTGAGAATAAATGGCCATCATTACCATTAGGACATCGTGATCGAATTGAAAGACCTGAAGAAATTGTTGAATTAAGAAAACAAAAAATTATCGATATTGTTTATGGACAACGACATGTTATGGCTCGAACAGAAGTAGGTGAAATCTACAGCTGGGGCGATAATCGTTTTGGCCAATTGGGTAATAATACATTTTTTGAATCATTGAAACCAATTCTAGTTGGTAATCACATACAATCATTGGCTTGTGGTTCATATCATACGCTTGCATTAACAATCACCGGACAAGTATTTGCATGGGGACGAAATAATTATGGTCAAATTGGAATCGGTTCTAATCATGATCAATTGATACCGGTCAAAGTTTCAGCATTGGATAACGAAAATATTCGTATAGTTAAATGTGGAAGTTCACATTCATTTGCGTTGACCGATAATGGCAAGCTTTATGCTTGGGGTGGAAATTCTTTCGGACAATTAGGACTTGGTAATTGCATTCATCAGACAATGCCTACAATTGTTAAATTTTCTGTAGATGTACCCGTGAAATCTGTTGCTTGTGGTGAATATCATACATTAATACTGATGATAACCGGTGAAATATATAGCTGTGGCCGTAATGATCAATGGCAATTAGGATGTACACAAATATCAAGTAGTGAAGGATCATTAGTACCGGTACGAATATCGTGTCAGGATCGTTTCGAATCAATTGCATCACATTTTGCAACAAATTTTTCAGCAGCTATTTCAACATCAGGATATTGTTATGTTTGGGGTGATTGTATACAACCGGGTGAACAACAACAACAACAACAATTTACATCAACAGATATTGTTGAACGATCATCGCCAATTCGTGAACCACGGCAAACACCATTGATTTCAATGGCAGAAGCTTTTGTACATTATTGCCGTAAACGTGTTACACCGTTTTTATTTGATTTGGCTTATGAAGAACGTATAAGAATGCGTACGGTTGGTTCACGTCTAGTCGAACGATTACGGCAATCATTTAATGATCCAGCTACATCTGATCTAGAATTCATAATCGATGGTCAATCAATTTATGTTCATCAATGGTTTCTACAATTGTCCAGTACTTATTTAGATCGAATGCTTTCCGGAGAATGGATGGAAACAATATCAACGAATGAAAATGATTCGAAAAATGTTAATGATAATGGAAAAATTCGAAAAAAAATTCAATTACGTACTTATTCCTATGAAGTATTTTATGCCTATTTTCGTTATCTTTATACCGATATATTAGAATTTCCCGAAACAACATCATCATCGGAACAAACTTTAATTGAATTATTAGATTTAGCCAATTGTTATCTGGATTTAGAATTGAAACAAAAATGTATCAATATGATGAGACATAATCTATGTGTTGCAAATTGTTGTGATTATTATCAACTAGCAATACGATATCAATTAGTTGATTTTGAAAAAGAAATTATTATTTATGCTTATAGTAAAATTTTTGAAATTTGTAGATCAGTCGGATTCAAATCAATGTCTGGTGATCTATGTAAAGCATTATTAGTGGCTATTAGTGAAATGGCTTGAAAAAAATCTATTTGATAATAAATTTTGATTAATTGAATAATAATATTAATATTTTTTTTTCATAAATTTAAATAAATAAACAAACAAAAAACAAAAAATAACGCATTAATAATTCGATGATGACGTAGTCGTCTACATTAAATGGTGAGACATCAATATTTTCCAAAGATCGCCATGATCGTTTTGTTTTTCTCCCTGTAATATATGTTGGCGTTTAATCAAGAATCTTGATTTAATTCGGAATTCATACACGGAACATTTGTCTTTCAAATCGGTCGGAAAAATTCATCAAAGTTTTTTTTGTTTACAACGAACAAGAAAAAAGAATAGGAATCATCAGAATAAAAATGATGATGCCAGCATGATTGGCAGATGAAATCAAGCAAAAGAAGGAGAAAAAAATCTATCAATTTCGTTCAATCATCAATGCCATTAATTTTTCTTTTGATAGAAAATATCCACGAAAAAAAAATTCTGTCGACAGAATTAATAGAATTTTTTTCTTCTTCTTGATCGATTCAATTTAAATATTAAAAATATTTATATAGCGATACAAATGAATGAATTTAGAAATTCTTTCGAAAGAAAAACATTAATTCATTTGATCACACTAATCATATTCGATGATGATAATTTTACGGTGATGAATATAAATCAACAATTCAGTGATGAATCCGAAATCGCTACGTAAGTTTCTTTTTCTTAAAAATCAACTATAGATTTTTCTTTACTTGCATGGTTAATTTTCAATTATCTTTGTTCGTTCATTCGTCTAGTATTAATTGCCCGGTAATTATAATGAATCCGATTTTAATTAATTTAACAACGATAAATAATAATTTACCAACAATCGAGATAACGCCATCTGTAGATGATGAAATCAATCAAATTGAATTACCACCAGAACCATCACCATCATCATCATCATTATCACCAACTATCGATTCGAATTCAATGATTGTTTCTTCTATATTTCGTCGAATATCAACGACAATTGTTCCATCAACACGACAAAAACAATCAATGACAATCAAACCGATTGGATGGAATAATAAACTCGGTTTTGCTGCCGTCATACTTATATTGATCATGTTTATATTGGATGTATTAACACTTTCACATTTATTGCGACAAATTTCCATTTACGAACGATCACAAAATCTATTGGAACGTATAAAATTTCTTATTGATTATTCGGGAACATTATCCGATATCGATTGTGAACGACTTTCTCATATGCCACATTATGAAGAGATAATGTCACGGATACGTATCAATTCTACAATAAATAAATCATCAAATAATAATATTGATAAACAATCATTAGTACAAGAATTATCATTTGTTAATGAACAGAAATCAAATCTATTAACAGTTATTGTTGTTACATTTGTTGCAATGATTATACATTTTATTGGTTTTATCGGTGTTTTACGACAATCATTTACGTTAACATTATTTGAAACATTATTCTTGATTATATTATTGATTATGAAACCATCATTATCATCATCGAAAATTGGTTGGATCATTTGGATTATCTATGCAATTTGTTTGCCATTATTTTTCATCTATCAGATTCGTCTTTATTATGTCAAAATTCGACGGAAAAAATGATTGCAAATGAAATTTAATCATTTTTTTTTCTGTGGTTTGTTTCCACCCTTTGCATATCATAATAACTGTAATCAAATTTTTTGTTTTGTTTTGCAATATCTAATCATCAATTATCAATCAGTCAAATAATTGTGAAAAATTTTTTTAAAATTCCCGTTAACAAGAAACGAAAAAAAAAGAAATTAGTAAATTTGATTATTCTTCTGTCATTTTGAATACATGATTATACTTTTTATTTGATTATTGATTGATGATTTTTTTTGATTAATATAATCATCATCATCACATTGAATAATAATTTACCTTGCTTGTCACACCCTTGTGATTATTACAGTAATTATTTTTCAATTAATCAATTTTGGATTGAAGAAAAAAATTACTTTTTTCCCCACATCAATCCGTCGATGAATTGATGAATTTATAATTTGAAATCGTTTTTCTTAGAAATAATAATAATTTATTTTAATAATTATATATAATCATCACAAATAAAAACAAAAAAAAATTCATTTTATCATCATGTTATAAAGAATAATAATTTTTTCAAACATCACTTAAAAAAAACATTTGGAATATTCATTAAAAAAAAAGAGAAAAAAGATTTATCGAAATTTTCTGAGAACCCAACCAACAAAATTAAAAAAAACCAAAAAAAAAGTGATTGATGAAATTAATTAAAAAGCAAAAACAAATCAATTGGTTATACAATTTTTGTGTTTTTTGTTTGTAGTTTTTTCCATCATCAAAATTACCCATCCATTGTTTCCAACCCCATTGACAAAACGTTACATTTATATTTTTTTTTTTTAAAAAAAAAGATCACAAAATGAGTTAAAGAATGGGTGTTTTTTTTCGAGCAAAAAAGTTTTGAAAAAAAAGATTGTTT